ATCCATCCATCCATCCATCTATCCATTCATTCACCCATCCATCCATCCATCCATCCATCCATCCATCCATCCATCCATCCCCACCCACCTATCCATCCATCCACCCTTCCCTCCCTCCATCTATCCATCCACCTAATCCATCCATCCATCCACCCACCCACCCATCCATCCATCCATCCACCTATCCATCCATCCATCCATCCGTCCATCCATCCATCCACCCACCCCACCCCACTCTGGAGGTCTATTTTTAGCTCCTGATTCATCTCCTGTTAGGCAAGGATAATGGGCATTGCCATGGTAACCTAGCTACTGCTGAATTCTGGAAGAGCCAATGTTGGTCTCTTTGGGGATGGAGAGGACAAAAGAGAAACAGCCCCCTCCATTCACACTGGGAAGCAGCAGGGTTCTAAGATGGGAGGCTGTGTCAGCTCTGTCCTGACCCTGCCACCAAGTCATGGATGACCAGGCACCAATTTTAGTGGTAGAAAGCCTCAGACCGTTCTGGGTTCCATTCAGGGGTGAAGCCAAGGGAATTGGTCAGTTAAGATGCCAGCAGGGGCAGAAGACACAAAGAGAGCTAAGAAGAATGGGAGGGGGTTTATGCAGGGGCTGAGGGCAGCAGTGGTAGGCCTGGGAAGCAGCTCTGGGCCAGGGCAGGGCAAGGAGCCTGATGAGCTGGCAGTGGAATAAGGGTCTCTTTTTGGAGCTGTTGCCTTAGCAAGGATGTAGCCACTCCCAGAACGTGTGAATCAGAGAGGGAGCAGAGGTGTGAGGCCCCCACCTCTATCCTCCACCCTTTCCCTCTGCCCTTTCTCCTTGGGCCAGCAGGAAGCTGGGAGCAGTCAGGCGCAGCCTACAGAGGATGCTCTCCTGGATTGGAAGGAAACAGGAGGCTGTGGGCTTGGGGCCTGGCCAGTAGGCAGGCTCAGCTGGGCACACGCAGGTGTGGAGGGAGCTGCTGGGAGAGGTGGGGTAGGCACGGGGTCACCAGCTCAGCTGTCGTGATATGGCGACTGCTCCAAGTCAGAACCCAACCTCTGCCCGGGCCTGAGCTGGCCAGTGAGACTGGGACTTTTGTTGACCTCTGGCTTTTCCTTGAGTTGCTGAGCTGGTGGCATGGGAGCCAGGAGCAACTGGTGACCCCTCTGCCACCATGTGGGCTGGGATTGCCTGGGAATGAGCCAGAGAAATGGCACTGGGAAGTGCCTAGTTCTGAGCCCTGAGCTAAGACTGGACTGCTGAGGGAGCCGAAAATTCCCTCTCTACCCAGACCAACTGGTGGTGGGTTTCCATCACTTGCCACCCAAAAAGCCTGGCCTGGAGGGATGGCAAATACTCCCATTTCACAGATAAGAAAAGCAAGGCTCAGAACAGTTAAATCACTTGCCCAGGATCATACAACTGGCCAGTGGCCGAAGCGGGACCCACTGGCCCCATGCAATTCCAGGATTTATGTCTTTTGCTAGAACACCTTCCATCAAGGGCTATGATCTGTCTGGCTTCAGGCTCCAGACAGGCTTCCCGGGAGGGAACTAGGACCAGGCAGCCAGAAATCCACCAGCTGTCACGGTGACCTGCAGAGTATCACTCTTGCTCATATGGCACAGGGCTCAGGGTTTCTCAGCAATCAGGACCAGAGAGTGTGGACCGGGGCCTCCCTGGCAGGAGCCACCCTGGGATTGACTCACTTCAAAAATTGCCCCCAGCACGCTTTGGAGTGGCCCCCTTGTCAGAGGATGGATTTGGGATTTGCAGACAGCGAATGTGCTTTCGGTGGCCAGCTGCGTAAGCCCTGGTCCAGAGTCAGACTGGACACCTGGCTCCAGCTTCCAGTAACTGCGTGACCTTGGACAAGTCACCTCCTGGTCTGCCACCTGGGAGTATAACAGCTTTAAGTCATGGCCCCACTTCTTTGGCAACCTCCTTCTCCTAGAACCTGGGAATGCTTAGGGTCCTACAGGACCCTCTGTTTGGTCATGAAAATGCTACTCCACTGCTTTGCTCACTTAAGACTCTGGCTCTTGGGACCCAGTGGCCAAGCTGCAAAGAAACTGAAGCTGTCCATGTAGCCGAGGCCCCAGCTGGCTGGCCAGGTGTGTGTGACGCCACGAGAGGGGTCCTCCAGCCCGGATGAGACCCTGACTGCATCCTCAGGAGAGGGCCTGAGCCAGATCCCCTCGGCTGATCCTCTCCGGTATCCCTGCCCCACAGAAATGGTATGAATTCCTCCAGGTTTGCTGTTGTTCTAAGCCACCAAAGTTTTGGTATAATTTGTTATGCAGTAGGTAACTGATACACCCTCTTCAAAAGGGTCTTGTGAGGACTGAATGGGTGGTGCCCAGGGCCTAGCATAAAATACAGTTGGGTAAATAAATACCAGTTTTGCAAAGGAGCATGGCTTCTCTTTCCTGTCCTGAGGGAGGACTGTGCCAAAGCTCCGCCTCTTGTTAACTTGCCCCCGGCCCTGCTGGCCATCCGCCGCCCCCCCAGAGCCCAGGCTGGGCCTCCGAGGCACGACTCTGGGTCAGGGTCCCCCACCTGAGGGTCTGCCCCCCCAGTCTCAGAGTCAGCCACGCTGCGGGGAGGAACAGGGGCAGCTGGGCATCGAGGCTGTTCTTTCTTCATTGCAGGCAGGCAACTGTGACTAAGTACTCCTAATTGGTGCGGGGGCGGGAGCAGGGCTGTCAGACGCGAGCACAGGGGGGCCGTGGGCGAGACCAGCTTCCGTGTTCCCCATCCGTTGCCCCCTCCCCCTGCCACTGCACTGATGCCTGCCCCTGAGCAAGGGCACCTGGGACCCTTGCCTGGCACGGACCCTCTTCCTCCCATTAAGGCCCACAGCGACCGCGGAACCCCGTGCACGGAGGACTCCAGTGTCCTAGGTCTTCACCCCACTTGGCTCCAGCTGCGCTGCACTGAGTCCCCCCAAATCCCCGCCCCAACCTCCCCTCCCAGGTCGGCCTCCTGTGAGCACCATTTCCCAGAAGGGGAAGGAACTCAGAGAAATTAAGCCACTTGGCCCAGTAGGCACAGCTGGAGGGGGGGGCCTGCGTGTCCTGAGCGGGGCCTTGCAGCCAGGTTCTGAGGACTCAAAGCCCAGAGCCAGAGCCGCCAGGCCTCGGCTGGGGGCGTGTGTGCGCGTC